GCTCTAACATGGTTACAGGTTTTTTGAGGAAAAGAGGGTTCTTTCTTTGATTTCTCCGACACTGCTGAACACACTATTGAGTGCATGGTAGAAACTTGATAACGTGTGGCTTAAGTGGGCAGTGGCCAGGGCTGGGGGATGTATTTGTGTGTGTGTGTGTGTGTGTGTGTGTGTGTGTGTGTATGCATGCATGTGTGTGTGCATGTGTGTATACCTTAGGTAGGTGAGAAGGTTGCCTCCGTCCCCAGAAACCCTTCCTGGCAGAGTCCCTCTGTTCTAGCAGAGCCAGAGTCCAGTCTTAGACCAAGAAAAGCTAGGTTCACAAACTCAAGAAAGCCAAGCACATATAAAAAAGGCCACCTAATCCTGTCCTTGTTCCACTCCTGTTGGGGGCTTTGGCCTCAAGGGAGAGGCAGTTCAGGCCTGTGGGGACAAGCAGCAGCTGCTGCTCTTAAGGAACATTCTTTCTCTGAAGGAGAGATGCTCTCAGGTTTCACTGGCCTGGCGGCTGCAGGAAGAACCACCTCTTGGTCTCCTAGTCCCCTGGCTGTGGGCTAGAAAACCACAGAAGGGACAGCTCTAATGCCTATGACCAGAATTTGGTAGTGTTAACTCAACTTGGGTGTCTCCTTTCCATCTAAGCAGTGATCCTTCAGAGGCCATCACCTCCTCTTGCTCCCACCTGGCCTTAAAACTCATAGGTTAAATCCTCAGGATTCTGCCATGGGGGCAGAACCACTAGGGCCTTGGCAGGGACAACTGACCCCCACATCCAACTATGGAAATGCAGAAATGTAAGTCAGTAGACAAGTCCCATCCTTCCCAGGGAGGAATATAGGAATTAGCCTTCCCTCCTAGTCTTTTGGGGAGTTGCAGAGCTGAAGAATGAGTTCCTTAGCAGGCCACTCTGCCCAGCACCTCAGAGTTGTGTTCACTTTGTACCTCTCTTTTCCTCACTTCTGATCTATTAGCAAATCCAAATTCTTGTTTCCCAACAATCAGTTTCTTTACCTCCAGTCCCTGAATCCCTGAGCTATAGCCAGCCAGGACCCCAGGACCCCCTGCTGTCCTTTATATGTCACACACGCACACACACATCACCATACTGTAAGAAGAATATAGACTCTGGAATAGTCCACCCCAAACTCTGTCACTTAGGTGTGTGACCTTGGATTAGTGTTTCCTTTCCCTGCTCCTTTCTCTGGTTGTAAAAGTTAAAAATAAAGTACATCTGGAAGCCTGTTGTGAGGAATAAATAAGATATTATACATAAAGCACCTAGTACACACCACATTTCATTTCTCCTTTCTCTTCCAGTTCATCTTTGAGCCATACAAGATGTGGCTATTCAATTAATATGTCTCCAGTCATGACCTTGTTGCCTAAACTCTCCACTTCCTTTAAAATCTTAAGCCAGTTGGCATCGGGATCAGACTCAAAATATACCCTCCCCCATAAAGTTGACTGCAAGATACTCCATCATTCTATTTTGGCGGTACTGGGGTTTTAACTTAGGGCCTCATCTTTGCTGGGCATGTACTCTACCACTTGAGCCACTCTGCCAGTCCCTCCATCATTTTATTTTGAGATCAGGGACTGTGTCACATCCATTTTTATGTCCTTGGAACTCAGAAGGCTACATAGTTACTCGAATGGATACATAGTACATGAAAGTTTGATCTTCTCTGTCTCTTCCTCTCTAGGAATTCTGAAAGGCTGTGTTTCTTGCCTTTTCCCAACTTCTTTCTGCACTGTGGACACTCACCTTTAGATATGCCAGTAGGCTACTACTCTTCCAAGCATGCCTAAATGGCCACCTCCTGCAGGAAGCCCTCCCAAGGCCAATGAATCTGCAGCTTCTCCCACTGCAATGAGTGAAATCCTCCTGCTTCCCAACTAATTCATACTGAGATTTGTCCATCTTGACTTGGGGCAGACACAGACCTGGTCATGAACGTGCACAGGCTGGGACTCAGGCCTAGACTCTCCGTGTGGAAGGAAGAAGGATGATTAGGGCAACCTCAAGCCGTACATGTGATCTGTCCAATCCAGAACCTCTTGCTGTGGCCTCTCCCATCTCTTCTGCTGTTCCTTTTCTGCCCTTCCTCAGTACTATTCGCCTGTGTTCTCACAGGACTTAACACAGTGCAGACAGTATGCTCCCCAAATGCTTGGCAACTGAATTAGAACTGTGTCTCTCACTCAGTTCAATTTGTCTGTCATAGTGCAATCTAAATCTCCATGGAGAAAGTGGGATGAATTTCAGTCAAATTAGCCCTGAGTGAGTGAGGTGAGAGTTGGGTTCTCTAGTGGGATGGCTTAGTTAGTGCCCTTTAGGAAGGATAGGAAGAATCCAGAGCCAGAGTCTATGATGAGTATGGTGCAGAGGAGGCTGCCCCTGCAGGAGGCCTGGGCGTTACTGTGTAGGTAGGATAGGATGGCCTCCTAGGGAAGTGGAAAGAACTAGCTGTGTTGAACTAGTTCAAGTCCTTGAAACTCTTTTTTAGTTCTTCTGTTTGATAGAAGTAGTCTCCCCTGTTTCCCACCTCCATTCCTCCTCTACAGAGAAAACCCACATATAGAAATGCAAGGCAAAGTGGGTAATATGCCCAAACCCTGTAGAGTGAGCTAGAGGACACAATATGGCATCTGGGAGTGGGGCTGCCAATTGGAAAACAAAAATGTTTCCCACATTGCCACACAAGGCTGGATGATTATTAGCACACAGGGAAAACCATGAGCCAGCAGTTTGCAACAAAGCTGGCAGGCAGCCGGGATGTTGATCTGGAGGATCGTGTTCCAGAGGGGCGACACCTCTCCCCAGGCCAGGCTGGTGCTCAAGGCAGCTATTTCAGGCTGGGAAGATTAAGGTCGGAGCATGACGAATGCACGCATGCACATATGCGCATGCGCACAACACATACATACCCCCAGACACTCAATTTCTCTTCCCTCTCTCATACTGGCTCCTGAGACCTGCCTTCTGCAACAATAGTCTGTGGTCCCCAACCCTTGGCAGCTGAGGTTCTCCTTCCTGGGTGAACCCCATGCAAGCCCTGCCCTACCTCTGTAAGATAGGAGCCTGCCTGGAAACCAGAACAGGGCACATCCTACTCTTTTTCTTCTCTCCCATGTACCCAGACTATGCCAGAATCCACTTACACCATCCCTTTACTGTCTTCCTCTCACTATGGCTGCCTTTCCTCTTTCCACTCTATCTGCCTCTGTCGTTCTCAACATCAACTCCCTTTGCCTTAGGATGTCTTTCCCTGGTCCCTTTCTCTTCATTGCTCTTTTTCTCCAATACTTTAGACTTTTTCATCCTTCTGAACCATTGACCCTCTATTGTTGCCTTTCCTTCCCTTTCTCTTTCTTCCTACTCCTTTTTCCTCCTTTGGTTTCTCTCTCTCTCTCTCTCTCTCTCTCTCTCTCTCTCTCTCTCTCTCTCTCTCTCTTTCTCTTTCATTCCAATAGCTATTGGCCACCGGTCATGTACTAACTATGGCCACCGGTCACGTACTATGGCCACAGCTGGAATCGTAAGGGAAAGTACAAGAAGACTCCAAAGGAATGAGTGTATTTTAAGAGAATACTAGCAAGCAGAAGCCTGGGCAGCTCTATTTAGATTAATAATAAAGTGGTTTGATGATTTCAAATATATAAAAATGCTATTTCAACTGAAAAAACATGTGTTATCAAGAAGAGGGAAGTGAGACCCATGCAAATGTTTGTCATTTTAAGTCATATCTGCTGCATCAGTGTTGGGCCATCAGTTGAGAGAAGGAAAGCTCTGTTTTGGATTGAGGTCAGGGAGGCCTCTATGGGAGAGCAGGCTTGTCACTGCCCCTGGGAAGAGGTCTGGCAGAGAGGTGGGGCTGGGGAAGGTATTCCCTGAACAGATGGGCATGGAGGAATGGTTGTGGCACTTTGGTTACTCTGGCCCAGGAAGGGCGGCTGAGGCTGGTTCATAGGAAGCCTTGAGTATCAGGTATGCAAGTGTGAAAGCTCAGGATTTGTGAGCAGAATCACCTACCAGGGCTTCAGGAAGAGGAGTCAGCAGCAGGAGCTTAAGAGGTGTATGGATGTGGAGCAGAGCTAAGGGCTGGCCAGGGAAGAAAGAAGGTAGGTCAGGAAGAAACCTGCCCATCTACAATTACCACAGCAGCCCATGCACAATTCTCTTATTTACCTACTGAAGCCTGAACAAAGGAGGCGTGGCGGTCAGAGGAAATGAAGGGACAAGTCTGAGTACTACCAAGTAAGACTACCTCATTGTCTTTGCCTCTTTTGTAGTGTCTTTGTTTTTGCCCAATTGTCTGAGTTCCCCCTTCCCTAGGGATCAGAGGCCTTTCTGCAGGGGCTACCCCAGGGCCAACCTCACCCTCCATCAAGGATTTGATCCTCCCAGTGATAGGAATCAGTACTTCCTTCTTTCCTTAAAGCTCAGAGGCACCTGAGTGCTGGCATTCCTCAGGAAGGCTGGCTTTCCTAGGCATCATGTCTGAGACCTTGATCATCCAGATCCCATGTTACCTTTCTCTGCAAACCCACCCCTCCAGTGACCCTGCTTCCCACAGCCTCACTTATCAGCTTCAGACCCCCAACTCTGAGGGGCCACTGTGGCTGCTAAGCCCTCTGCCCCTCCTTCCTTCCCTCCCACCATTACCTTGGTACACCCCCAACTCCAGAGCTTGAGGTAGAGTCAGAGAGCCCAGGAGGGGAAATCCAGTGCCTCTCTAAGGACCTGATTATTTCCAAAGACTTGTGCTAATTTTCTGATATGATCCTCACATCTCTGTGAGGCACTAAATCCTCATTACTTTTCCTGACCGATGCATTCTAATTAGATCAACACTTAAAAAAAATTCACAATAGCCACAGGATGGCTTTCCATCTCATTAACTCCTCACTTATTATTTTCATGAAAATTACTGATAAAAATGTGCATCTCCATTTGGTGAGGCCTCACAGCCTCCTCAGCTCCTATCTTACATCTCTCCCGTCACCGGGGCTGTGCAGCATCACCATGGTAACCCACAATAATAGAAACTAATAAATTACAAACGAGATGCTCGTTGAGCAATTATTGTCCTCTTTTATGCAACTTTCTTGCTAATTTTGATCATAAGGGAAAGTACAATAAGACTCTGAAGGAATGAGTCTATTTCAAGAGAGTATTAGCAAGCAGAAGCCTGGGCTGCTGTTTTTAGATCTGTAATAAAGTGATTTGGTGATTTCAAGCAATAGGAAGAGGAAATACACTTCTTGCTCCATGTCCTGTGCAGTACTCACTATCAAGTCCCACAGAGATCCCCCTGAGGTGTGAGTAAGATGTGATTCTGAGTATATCTCTCTGGAGCTTGTTGTCATGATGCTCCTTCTCCAGGCCAGTCCTCAATAACGCCCCCTCCAATGACCTAGGGATCCTTATAGGTCTAGACATAAAAATGGCACAGGCTCTTAGGCATCCTTGGCAGCACCTCTCGCCATTCATTCTTTGAAAATTTACCTGTAACCCCACACCTGGTTGTCAAACAGGAAGGGCTACTGTGAGCCTCACAGGGGCCTTCAGGTGTGTCTTTTGGACTTAAGAGCTCAGTAAGAAGGGGACAAAGGGGTGAGCCTACAGCTCACATAGATGCCAGCAAGTGTGTTGCAAAGGAACAATCAAGCAGCTTTCTCAGTCTGTCGGTCGAGGAAACATTCTGTCCTGGAGAGGAGGGTCCTTCTTTCTCACAGTGCTCAGGCACCTTTTCCTCCTCTCCTGCAGGTAAATCTTGGAAGGGTAGGTGTGGAGGGATGTGGGTGTGACATTTGCAGTGGCTCTGAACCTGAGGGGGACAGAGGGACCAGGGTAGGTGAGCAGCTGGAGAATTATCAGGGAGAAGAGTCCCATGGAAACTGTCTTCATTTATTAGATGGGCAGGATTTGGGGAAGGACCACTTTTCCTGAAGCCCTCCTTCTCAGGAACTCAGAGAGCTCACCATTCAAGCACTGTAGAGAAGCCTGTTGGCTCAGACGTCTGGACCCATGCCCAGCTCAACCTCCAGGGAAGTGTCCCATCTCCTTAACACCAGGGCTCATTCATTTCTTGGAAAATCTTGGGCCAGAAATACAGGAATTACTTTGGGCACTCTCTCATTCTCTCTCTCTCTCTCTCTCTCTCTCTCTCTCTCTCTCTCTCTCTCTCTCTCAGATACAGTCATTTTCTAGGGGACACCAATACCCTGGTGAATGGGATCTGTGCAAAAAAGGAACTATCCTAGTCAGACATGGTGGCAAACACCTATAGTTCCAGAACGTGGGATTTTGAGGCAGGAGGATCAAGAGTTCGAGGCTAGCCTGGATTAGTAGGAAGACCTTGTCTCAAAAAAGGGGACGTTTAGGGGGGATGTACTGCCTGATGAATAAAGGAAGAGTAGATCAGGAGGACCTCATGGGGAAAGGATCCAGTGAGTCAAATTGCTTGGTCTAGGTCACAGGGGTCCTTCAGAACTTCCTAAGTACCTGGTTTAGGAGGTAAGACCCAGTAGTGTGTGTTACCTGTGAGTGAAGGTTTATGGAGGGCTGGTTTGGGGAGTAGGGCCCCCCGAGGTCATTCCTGAGCAGGTTGTCGCTGTGCATCTTGGTTTTGAGGCAGGTGATATAACGGTTGCAAAAGTCCTTGCAGAGTTCATTGACTTTCTCCAACTCCAGCAGGTGGATCCTCAGGACCTGGATTGCCTTCACCATCTGGGGAGAGGGAGGAACGGTAAGCCCAGGTGTCTGCATCACATTCCCCTCCCTGCCCAGGCCCCTTGCCCAACCACAAGCAGGGGAGAGGAGTTCATCTCCTGCCATAGGCTGTGCTTTCTCATCAATATAATTTAAATTCTCCTTTTGACTCTTTGCTGATTATTCGCTTGCTTTGAGCCCACTGTTATCACAGCTGTTCTTGAAGCAATTGTACCCTTCTGAGAACAGCACTGGCCTTAGAGCTTGAAGGCCAGGTCCACACTCCTGGCCTTCCATTTGTTATCTGTGTGACCTTGGGCAACTTGCTTAAGCTCTCTGTGCCTTAGTGTCTAACACATGGGGATAATTTTTCCCTCCCTGACAACTTTACAGGTCCATTGAGGGGATCACCTAAGGGGATGTACATGATGGCACACTGTGAAATGTGAAGTACTGAGTAAGCAGAAGGAAGACTGAGATCAGTTTCTTGTAAGTGTCCCAGAAGTTGGGGACTATCTATTCTTAAACTCTGAGTGCTTCATGTGATACAGGCTGCCTTGTGGACATTCATTGGTACTTGCTGACTGACCAAATAATCCAGCATGATTTAACTGGGCACCGGACACCAAGTGCATGGTTTCTGTGCCCTTGGGATTACTGCACATGAGTCTTGCCTCTTCATATGGACATCCCTAACCCTAACATGGCAAGAAGCTATTTTATGACTGAAGTCTTGCTTTTATTATTATTATCATAAAAAGAAAATAGTAAGGAAGGTATGGAAAACAGAGGGTGAAACAAACCTGTCTTTGACCCAATCACCCTAAGAGAAGGATGTTTTTGCTTCTTTTTTCCACATGCATAAAATTTGACCTATTTTCAATAACCTTGTAGGTACAATTCTGTTTCCTGTTTTTCCCTTAGTGGACTGTGAACTTTGAGAAGGTAGGGACAATGCCTAATTTGGCCACAATGTTATTTTCAGTATCAATACACATGGATATGGAATAAATATTTGTTGAATGAGTGAAAGTTTTGAGTAAATATACTTTAGTTGTTACAACTAATTCCCTACTGTTGGGCATTTAGATTAAGTCCAATTTTTAAGTTTATAAAGAAAAAAAAGCTCAGGGTTTAACTTATTGGTAGAACACTTGCCTAGCATGCATGAGGTCCTGGGTTCCACCCCCAGAACCACACATAAAAAATTACAGAGAATATGTTCTAAGTGTGTATAGCTTTTCTACCTATTTCTGCATTATTCTTTAGGAAGAATTCCTGGAAGTGACAGAAAAAAAATCTGTAGACATTCTTATGGCTCATGAAAAACAAAGTCAAATTGCTTTTCAACAAGGGGTTATTCAAATGGTGCTGGAAAAATTGGACATCTATAAAGAAAAACACAATAAAACAAAAACAAATAAAATACCCAAACTGAATCTTAATTTAAACCTCACGTTTTCTACAAAAATTAACTCAAACTGGATCAGAGACCTAAATGTAAGATACAAAACTAAAATGCTTCTAGAAAAAGAAAAGAAACACAATAGAAGAAAATCTTTAGGATCTAGGGTTTGATAAAGAGGTCTTAAACTTGACACCAAACACAATATAGAAATGGAAAATATTTTGCTCTTCAAAATTAAAAATGTTTTCTCTTCAAAAGACCCTGTAAAAAGGATGACAAGACCATGGATTTGAACAGAATATTTATAGACCACATATTTGACTAAAGACTTGTATTCAGAATATGTAAAGAACTCTCAAAACTAAACAGTAAAATAATAAGCAACCCAACATGGGCAAAAGACATGATCAGAGATTTCATCGAAGAGGATATACAGATGGCAAATAAGCATGCAAAAGGATGTTCAATGTCATTAGCCATTAGGGAAATGCAAGTTAAAAACACAATGAGATGTCATTGCCTACCTGTAAATATAGTAAAAATAAAAAAAATAAGGATAATACCAAATGCTGGTGAGTAAGTACAAACTGTATTAGCTATATATTGCTGTGAAGTGCTATGGTCCCCTGTGGAAAACAGTATGGCAACTTCTTACAAAGCTAAGTAATGCTTACCAGATTACCTAGCAATTGCATTCTTGCACATTTATCCCAGAGAAATAAAAATGTACATTCATCAAATTCATGCATGAATGGTCAAAGAAGCATTATTTCTAATAGTTCCAAGCTAGAAAAAACCCACATATAGTTCAACAGGGAAAGGAGTAAAGTCACTGTGGTATATCAATACCATGGAGTACAACTCAGCAAGGGAACAAATTATCGATATACTCAACAGCTTGGATGTGTCACAGGGAATTATGCTGAGAGAACAAAACTAACCTGAAAGGTTTGTATACTAACTATATAGTGCCACTTACACTGAAGTGATAAAATCACAGAGATGGAGAACAGATTAATTGTTGACAGGTGGTGGAGTGGAGGAGGGAGGGAGGAGCTATTCAGTACCTTGACTATAATAGTGTTTACATGAATTAAACATGATGAAATTGTGTGGTACCAGGCACACATATATGCACACACATATGAGTGCATGCAAAACTGGTGAAAGTTGAATACCATATTAATGCTTGTGAAATTGTGCTATAGTTATGCAAGAAGGGGATCAGGATCTCTCTGTGTTCTTACAACTGCATGTGAATTTATAATTATATCAAAATTAAAAGTAAAAAATATGGAGGGAGGCTTATTGCTTTTCCATATCCAGTTTTGTTGACTCAAGCAATACATGGGAGTCTCTATTTAATCCCACTCTCCCAGCTTTTGTTATCATTTTGATACCTACAGAAGAATTCAGACAGTATAAAAAGGAAATGTGGAAGGAAGTCTCTTCCAGAGAATTTTGGCCGTGAGGTGTGTATAGAGCAGTGTTGCTAGAGGCAGGGTCTCATCCTTTTCTGAGACTCACTGACATTTCCATTTGGGGGCCCACATTCACTGGGTTGGGTTAGTGGATCAGATGATGGGCAAAGACGGAGCTCAACTAACTGAGGGTTTTGGTGTACTAAATCGGAGTAAGTGTTACTCTTAGACAGAAACCAACCATTGTGGGGCTTTATGCAGTGCTTAGTCACCAGGTCTCATACTACGGAGTGTCACTTCCATGGTGCTGACAAAGGAAGGGAATGACTGTCCTAGGTAAGGATGAAAACGGTGACATTAGTGGGACCATTTGGACCAAAAAGTGGAGTTAGGTACTCAAAGTTGCCTAAATTTTCTGCTTGACTTTGGCCTTTCAGAATGAAGCACAGTATAAGGTGCTTAATAGATACTTGTTGATGGATTAATAGCAATACCCAAACGTTTCTTATTCTTGCTATGTTTTGGGCACTGTTAAGCCTACTCATGCCTTACCTTATTTATTCCAGAAGACCACTCTGAGATAGGTGTACCTATTGTCCACATTTTACACTTGAAAATGAAGTACAGAGAGAGACATTAAGTTTTCCTTCCTTAAAACCACACAGCTGATAGGTGATATGAAGCCAAATGGCCTCATCTCTGATTTGTTTCACCTTTATTGTAGACTCTCAGGATTCATGTAGGTAGAAAAAACCAGCAGTGTGAAGGGTGGATGGATTGTGAGGTGAGTGGGTAAGTGGCCCAGTGTCAGGAAGTATGGGATTCTAGGGAAACTCAATAGCTTTTGGGACATTAAAGATTAATATTTCTAGAAACCTCCCTGGTAATGTTCTCATGGGCTACTCTGATTTCCCATCTTTCACGACAGAGGGCAGAACACCTCATCAATACCATGACTATTTCCTCATGTGTGAAAAGACAGGTGGGACTGTCAGGTCCTTTCCATTTTCTGATTCTATGAACAGTAGCAGGACTTCTGCTTTGAATTCATTGGCCATGAATGAAGGAGGCCTGCAAGGTGATCTGTGCCAGTCTGTAGGTGAGTGCACAACACAGGCACACCAGAACACAAGGCTACATCCTTTCTTCTAGGCTTTCCCTGTCACTAGAGGATGATAGTATTGTCCTGGACTGTCTCTGTGTTCCCTCAATGTGCTGATTAAGAAGTTCTTCATTATATATGACCAAACTCTTTCTTGCCTTAATGTAAAGGGCTTGCTCAGCCTTCTATAGGCACCAAGGACATCTAGTAATTCCAACAACATAACTTTCTTCATTTAATTTTATACATTCAACAGAAAGTTGAACATTGACTTTGGAATTAATAATGAAAGATAGGACTGTAAAATAGGTACAGTTATGGGAGGAGATGAAAGTGAGGGAATGTGGTTGATGGGCTCCGTATACATATAAGAAATAGAATGATGAAACCTCTTGCAACTGCTTTAAGTGAGTTGGGGAGAGGGTTGGGAAGGGAGGTGGTGGGGGCAATCTAACCAGTGTACAATGTAAGGCTATTCATAATTGTCACAATGAATCTCCCCTGAACGATGAATATATCCTAATAATAATGAAAAAAAAGTGAGTCTTACTATATATGTTATACATTGAGCTAGTCATCTGATTTGAATAAGTTGTTCAGTTAGCTTTTTCTTCTCCAGATAAAAACAATCCTAATGCCTTAATCTTTTCTCTTTGTCTTTTCTTCCTCCCCCTCTCTTCCCTCCCTTTCTTCTTTCATTCTCTCAGCTTTCATTACCAGACTTTTTTGATTTTTTGGTGGGGGTAGGTGCTAAGGATAGAACCCAGGGCCTCATGTATGCTAGGCAAATGCTCTGCCACTGAGCTGCATCCCCAGCCTTCTTCTGCATATTTTGTTTTGGTTTTGGTTTTTTAGACAGGGTCTCACTATGTAGTCCAGGCTGGTCTTGAACTTCTGATCCTCCTGCTTAGCCTCCTGATTGCTGGGATTACAGATAGTGTGCCACTATGCCTGGCAAATTAATATAACACATTTATCTATCTATCTATCTATCTATCTATCTACCTATCTATCTAACTATTTATCTATCATCTATCTATGTATTTGCAGTGTTGGGAATTAAACCAAGGCCTAGTGCATGCTAGGC